ACAAAACATTTTTGAAATTACAGCTATATTAGCAAAGTACCTGGAATTAGAGAAATCCTTACAAATATTTCTTCACTTTAAAATGAAAGATTTGTGCTGTTTGGTGGACTGTAATTCACACTGCTTAGCTTAAGGTATTTAACTTAAGGCATCTATGCATCCTTCGACAGTTGGAGAGAGCACTTTGTGGCACTGAAGGTGCAGGTGCCCTCAACAGTCTGCAGATACCTCCCTCTCTTTAGCCTCCCCGAAGAACTTGGGCTCCTGCTTTTATAGTACAGTTCAGACCACTTAACTTAGAAGGCTAAAGTAGACATGAAGTGCTCCCAAATAGATATTCATTATGACTCCAACAATACAACGTAAAGTCCCGTAGAAAATCTGGATAGCCAAACTTTAAGATAGCATTCCTCACAGCAAGAACATTTTTCCCCCAGGATAGGTAAGAGTGAATGAACATTGCTTCTGGATATAATATATATATTTTTGCTTTTCTAAATGCATACTGCATCTAGCATGCTGATTATACATTTTCCTTCTTTCATGTGTAACTGTTGTCCAATATGGAGTAATACAACAAAAGTGCTATATATTGATGTTCAGTTCAAACCCGACTTTCACTATATATTGTCATAACTGTAGGCAGAATTGTAGCTTAGTTAATTTGATTAAATGTTTTAGTTTTTAACAGATGTAGAATTGTAATTCAATAGCATAACTTTTGAAATAATAACTTTGTTTGAAAGGCATATTTCCAAGAATAGACAGCACAAAGTTTTAAATTATAGTTGAGAAATTTATGACCACCAGTTTGTCATAATGTTATCTTTTTCTGAATAGACCTTACAGACAGATTTTCCCCTAGGTTTCTATTTTTTCATAGATGCTCATTTGTGTAGTTGGGTCACTTGTGCAGAGTGTGGCAAACTCTGGTTCAGTTCCCTGGACCAGAACTGAACTGGCATTTCCTACTTGCAGAGACGCACCACCAACAGGTCAATGACATCATCCTTTCCCAGGTGCTGCCTCGTGTCCCACAGCTCATGCTGCTGAACTAGCCTCCTGGTTAAGGTTCGCGGGTGGAAGAGTTGATTTACACCATCTGTAGTACATTGTACATCCTGTAGTAATGCAGCAGGCTATGGCTGAGCATTATCTCAGTGAAATCAATTAAGGAGCTCAAACAGAAGTGGTGGAATGTGTGGTGGGAACCTGTGGCCAGTTGGGTGAAATAAGCAAAGCAGGCTTGTGTAGGATTAGGAACGAAGTGCCAACTAAGACCCACATGAGAATTCCACAGGTAATTAAGCTCCTTGTCCCCACAGTTTTGTAATGGGATCTGGGAAGCTGAGCTGCTGTTATTTTATTTTTTAAAGTTCTTATAGTTAAAAAAAGAGACTTGCTCAGAGATGCATGTAAAAATTTAAATATACTTTATTTCTGCTACTATAATGGCTGAAGCTTCAGCTTTTTTTCTTGAGGTCTGGACCCAAACTTACTGGCTGTACCTGTACAGTGTAGGACTAGTAGCCGTAATTATTCACTTTCACATGCAGTCTGTTTATTACACACAAATTGAGTGCTGTAGATCTGACACGTAGTTCGCATCTGTTAGCATGAAACCTGGACTTCACCCAGTTTTCTAAGTTCAGAGTTCATATATTTCATTGATATTGTTTCCCTACTGCATAATCTTAACAAGTGTTACATGCATGGTTTTGTGTTTCCTTATTAGCTGAGTGAGCTATTTATTCTGAAGAGATAAAGAGACTAGAGGTTTTTAAATGGTAAGCTTAATTATTTTTTTCCAAGGGGGAGAAGTCCCAGAAGAACACAGAAAGGATTTAAATTTGCAAGGAATAGCTTGTTCTCACGGCACAGTATTCTGCGTATTCCACATAAAAGGACCTTATAAAGAGAATTAATATTGGCCAAGTTTTGGTTTTTGTTTTTAATGACTGCTTAAAAGCAGAGGCTTTCAAAATTATTTTTTTCAGTTGTGAATTCTGCAAGGATCACTGAGGTGCTTTAGACTGATGATGAAAGTGGACATTTACACAGAGCTGCAAGAAGTGGGTTAGGGCAGCAGTGGGGCCCCTCCTGACAGTGGGGCCTGCCCAGCAGCTCATCCCACAGGATGGAGAGCAGGCGCTGCTCCTGCCCTTCTCCCATGGAAGGATGAACACAGTAAGATCACATTTTTCCAGTGGCAGAAGGGGAATAATGAGAGCATGGTGGGAACGCCTGTAAACACAGGCAGTATTACTGCCCAGCAGTATCCAAGCATCAGTGAGCCTGGGATTGCCCCCTCACAGCAGCATGCCCTCAAGTTCTGGCTGGCGGCTGCTTCGATGGGCTTTCCCTTTCTGCCTGGCCAGAGTAGCTAACCGCCATCACAGCGGGGTGAAGGTACTGAATGCACGGCTTTAATTTGTTATGGAGGGGGAACAAGCACACATGAAAAGGCCTTCCCTTTGGCTAGGGCAGATGGTCTGAAATGCATCCTGAGGAACTTCCCAGCTCTATGTCCTTTGATGATAGATGTCTTTCTCTGATTCACCACATTTAGTGTATTAGAAATTGCCCTGAAGTTTACCAGTGACGCTCCTGTGCGCTAAATAAAATTTTTTCAAAAGAAATGCAAGAGCCTGCTTAAAGATGCTAGTGCTTCCTGTCCTGGATCAGCACTTCTTACAAAACATGAAAGTCTATGCTAGTTAATAACTTAAAAGCTTAATTTACTTTCTTACATCATCTAAGGAGTGCAGCTGATTTTGCTTTCACTGTAAGTTCATTGTAATTAAAATAAACCCCTCTTATTCCACATATCCTTCTACTTAGTGCTGATGTATCAGCTGAATTCAGTATCTATCTGTGATGTTAAAAAAAAAAAAAAAAAAAAGAAAATAACATTGACAACTTGAATTTTGGTAAATTATGAGAGTGATGACAAAGCAAGCCATACAAGCATAACCCATGGCATATGGTAACTTAACAAAGGCAGCCACAGGGAGACCATCATCATGGTGTTAACTCAAAAGGAACAGCAGATGTTTAGGAAGGCCTCTTCAAGTTAAAGACTAAGATTCAGTGATGAAGTTGAAGACACTCCAGCCAACAATCATTTGCCTAAACAATCAAAATTCCAATTGATTCTTCAGCTCCCTCCTGCTCCTCCCTCATAAAATACAAATTTAAGAACCAGAATTTCACTTTCATATTAGATTTCAGAAATGCCCTAAGATGGCAAGCTTTCCCCATGCTTTTGCTAATAAGCAGTTCTTTTAGAAATCTGGAGAACAGATTAATCTGAGTTTTTGGTGGAGACCAGGATTGTGAACGTTGCATTGACTTGCTCATAATTCCATGTAATGAACAGAATATTGCGTTTATATTATCCAGAACCCTCTCTCAAAACACCATGTGGTTTGTTTTAATTTTCAAATGAAATGGCACTACCACATCAATTTAACATCCACTTTAACAAATTTCATGTTCAATGTGGTAAGCCTTCCAAAAACTTGCTAATTTATTGCTTTCTGTACAATTTAAATGGATGTAAATAACTAATCTTGGACACATTATACTTGCAATTTTATTAATAAAGTGCTCAAGACCAGGTTAAGCACTGTAATAAAATTTCCTTTTTTTTTTAAGCTAGCACTGAGTAGCTTCTTCTTTCCTCTGCAAAAAACAGAATTACATATAAACACACAGCAATGGTGTAAAAATGGACATTTATTACAACTAAACCAATGTGACAGACAGTGGTCAAACAGTTTATTTGTCACAATCACAACAAAGATTAATCCAGCCAAGCACATACAAGTGACAGTGTAAACTTTAAAAACATGTTTAATACATACAAAATTGCTTCGGGTTTGACTTAAGGTAATTTTACCACTTCAATCTCACACACAGGGTCATTCCACTTTAACCTCACCTATCCCTGCACGTTGTGCCCTGGGGACACGCTCACCACTGCTTTTGCCGCACTCTAGGTTAAAAACATTCTCTACCTATTGGGTATGTTTAAATCCCAGAAAGGGCATAAGTAGACAAATTCAAGGAGTGTGAGTTCACAGGCTCCACCCTGGCACTGCTGCACAAGTGTGCAGACCCACCCCTGCCCCACCTGACCCTCCTGCTGCCACAAACATTTATACTGGGATCTGGATCAGAGGACTTGCAAGTGGCAATGCTGAGCCTTTCCTGGTGGGTTAAATTTAACCTAGATTGCATCGAGCCCACAGCCTAGCTCTCTGGAGGGCTGTCTCTGCTTACTCTAGCAGTGCATGGCTGCTAAGTTTTGTGAAAACGTGGCACTACTTACTCAAGTGAACAAGCCAAGACATTGACTCCTAGAGTGAAGTTACAGGAAAGGGAGGAGGGGGGAACAGCCCTGCCTTCTCAGGGACAACCATGCAGACACACAGAAGAACTTGGCTATTCCAAAATGTGGCACTACCTCCTCAAAACTCAAAAGTATACATGAATTGAATTTCCTCAAATGAAACAGGTTTAGTTTATAATTACTGAAAATCTGCTACAAGTGTCAAAATAGTACTTGGTATCACTTTACAGGATTTGCAGTGAATCTACTATACAAATCTAATATTTAAAAGCTCTCACTGCAAATTAGTTGGTTCAACTGTACAGCACACAGGAGTTTCATAAGGGATATCACATGGTAAAGGTCTCAGTCAAGAAAAGCAGTTAAAATGACATTGACACTTAGTGTGGTTTTTTTTCAAAGGTACCAATACACCCATTAAAGCATAACTATAAAACACCAATAAATACAAATTAATTTGTAGAGTTTGAAAGACCAAAAAAAACCACTCCCTTTTGTAAAGCTCCTTTCTTTCCCATCTTCAAAAGTATCCAATTTTCATTATGCACCTCTCTATACAGTCAGAAAGCCTGCCTCCTTTCTTGTGTTTGTGTTCAGAGCAAGATAATATCAGATCTAAAAATAGTTTCCTTATTTGAATTTTTTGTTTTTACCACATGCATTCCCTTTTTAGTATAGTAACTTGCACAGTTTTGCTCAAGGCAGCTACACTTAAATACACCTTCAATTCTAGTGAACTGATCAGTTTGCAGTTTTCTTGCAAAAAGCAGTATCACCTTAACAGTTTTTACCAGTTTGATATGCAGATCCTAACAGGATTCTTTGGTATAATGACAAATTCATTAGTAAACAGGTATTTCCAATCTTTATGCATCAACTGAAATAAGCAGAATTATCACAAGTGTTGACTAAAATGTAGATGAACAAAATTCTTTGGTTGCATAAACACAATTTCTACACCATAACATTTCATATTTGGAGTTGTCCATGTAGTTTCTTTCATTTAGATATGCTATGTCATAACAATACATTTATTTCCTGAAGTCAAGTTTGCTTATAAAAAACAGTACACTTATTGAAGTCAAATGCAATCTTCCTATAAATGCAGTGAAGGGAGAGACACTGAGTCAATTTAAATCTAATTCCTTTTCATTTATGATTTTCAGACTTTAAAGAGTATTTTTCTTGTAGGCCTGAATGAAGCAGCTTAGCAAAACAGTAATACTGACAAACAGCATATTACACCATTAGCTAAACATTACAATGAAGGCAGTGAACATTTACAGTATGGAAACACTGAGATGTCAGCTGAAGTGAAGATTTATGTCAATCCAATTTCTTCAAGTACACTACGTGGGGTCTCTGCTTCCTATGGAGGGAAAATTTGAGACAGTGGTAAATGGACCCTGTGCTTCTATTGAACAGTACCATACATGAGTTAGTATGAAAGATACTTAATCAACAAAGAAAAGCTGAAAGTTGTGAAAATACAGAAGTACTATGGTTTACAAACACAGTATTAGCTACATTTCTCAAAGAGCTGTTAATTAGATTGTCATGGTTCACAGGAATAGCTGGTAGATTTTATTGCTATCAAGCGCAATAAAAATAAAGCAATTCAGATGTACCAGCAAGGAACAAACCACAACCCAGTAATAGAGAGATGAGCTGGGGAGGGCTAGGGAAGCAATGGAGTCAGTGATTTTTTGTGGTAAATTGTTTCATGGGTCTCAAAAATCTGTTAGAGAAGAATGAATAAATGCATGACTGAAATGACTGATAACCAAGATACAGTATCCCTTAAGTTCTTCATAAAAAGTCTAGTTTGTTTTTTTTTTTTTTTTTTACACCAGTCCCATGGTTAGTTCATAAAACCAGGTCAAGGTACTTTCGTACACATAGTGTTAATAAATTCACCCCTACAGAAGTGAAGGAATTGCCAGGATTGAAATTACATTATTCCACACCAGGCATAAAGTTTTAGGTTAATTCTAATCTTAAAAAGCTTTGTTTAGGTTCAGAGCAAGTTGTTTAATACAAAATTCCAAAGGGTTATGATCAGTTTTATATGCATTATTCCTATAAGCATCTGAAAAGAAATTTAGTTTAGTTAGAAAGATTAGGCTGTCCTTCTCCATAATTAACAATATCATAATTATTAAAAAGGGATACTGTATCCTTATGGAAACAAACTTTTGATTTCTAGAGTATGAATAAACTTACTTTAGCATCCTAAAACAAGACATGTCATGAAGCAGAAAAAAAGCAGATAATAGTTAAGGCAGCAAACAAAATATTTTTAAACTGCTTTTTAAATATTTTTTTAAATTGTCAGTAGAATACATAATTAAACACCTTAAACCTTGCAAATAACATCAGAACGTTTCTCTATCAACCTTGACTATGTAGTAAAAAATGATCGCATTTACAATCCTCATTCTGTTCATGTATAAGGTGATTTGGTATTGAAGGAACAAGCTATGGTATTTTTAAAGGCAACTTCATTTGAAAGCAAGTCAATGCTTGGGAACAGGCCACCTCTGAGCACTTCAAGATGGCTTCCAAAATCCAACAGCAAATAAGACTGCAAGAAAAAAGCAAGTTAAAACTGGAAACAAGATAGTGTATTAAAGATATAGTGGGTTTTTTTTCACTGATGCAATATTTAAATAGTCTTGGAACTACAGTGATCTTGATAAAGCCAGTCAGGGTGGCACCATTAAAGATGCAAGTGTGTATTTTAACACAAATTGACCAAAAGGAGACACTGGTTGAAGAAAAAACTACACAGCATTTTTAATATAACCTGTTGTATTATATTCCAGATTATTTTGTTGCGTTCATTTTAGAGGAGATGTGTCTTCTCTATTCACCAACTTAAAGTATTTTACTGAAAAAATCCTACATTCTTAACTATAGCAAAAGAACTCGGAGTATTCTAACAGAATATAACTTCAAGAATTTCAGGGTCGTGAAAATATTTGTAATAAAACAACTTTTCACAGTTCCAAATTGATCAGACAGCAGTAGACACTTAGTTACTCAGTGGTGAAACAGGATATCTGCTAAGTTACCTGAAAAAAAGTTGTTCAATAGCTATGAAGAAATACAGTGCACTGCTGCTACTATCTTTAGAGCAGTTTAGTATTGTCTCCACTAACAATTCAAAGTTGTAGGTAATTTTCACCAGGCATATACTTAAATAAAGAATAAACTTCTTAAATTAAATCAAGGTCCTTGGCTAACAATGAATTTAAAGCAATATATTTCAAGGATACTGGCTACCTGTCCACAGATACCTCATCAGTAAAACTCAGTAAGATTTAAATTTAATACTATACCAGTAACCATGAGGCAGACATGCCTTCTTACGTGCACATCAAAAACAAACTCAAAAGTAACACCTAGTGTGTTTTGCTAGAGGAATAATTTCATCAATTATGACTTTTAAGAAACAAATAGAATGAATTATATTATGTTTTGCTCACATTATTTGTTTTACGAAGTGTCAAACAGTGTATCCCATTGTTATGAAAAACATTATGCAGTGTTATATACTACCTGCAGCTCAGAATCACCCAAGGCAAACAATGCAAATTTGAAATACATCAGAACACAGATGAGGAAAAAGTCATTCACATGAGACAAAAGTGCATGCAATACTTTATTTCAAACATGCCAGGAAAGCTAATTCATTACCTAGTCATTTAGAAGCAAGCAGCTGTATACAGATAACAAGAAAAACAGCATCTCATTACAGCTCAATGCACAGCATTTTAAGCCAACAGGCATGAAATAATGCAGGCTAAAGCAGCATTAACCAGACATTCAAACACATTGATAACGGCTTGGAGAAAAAAGGCAAACTTGGAAATGGAAAACCACTCCTATGATCTTGTTTTCTAAGATTTCAGAATGCTGCAAATCCAATCCAAATCTTTTGTCTAATCCCCTAAATCTCCCATTTTTATGTCAGTTTAACATTTGACATGTAGTGCATTACCACATATAGTATGTAAAAACTAGCTGTTTGTGGTTAATCTCAGTAACCACCTCCTTGCTAATTGCAATTAAACAGTTTTCAACAACAGCACTGATTTTAGGTTACAAATTATTCTCTTCTGTTAGGCAAACAGAGGATGCAATACATGCCCTCTCACTTTGCCCACACTTTAATTGAAAGGTACTTATATTCATCCTCATGGCAGTTCTCTGATATACAAGGCAGTCTGCACTTAAAACTGAAAATGCCAAATGAAGGAGACATTTCAAGTATGCTGTTAATGGACTTTAAAAAAAACCTTTCCAAGCCTAACCATTTGTAAAACAATGAACTTCTCTCCCTCAACAGCAGCAGTTGTTCAACTACTCACAAGAGTGTTTTGAACACTTAAATACAGATGTTGTGACTGCAGATTTATGCAAGTCATTCTCTTTGCCCCAGTCAATTTTGCCTTCCTCCTCTTTATAAGGTAAGTCCCGCTATCAATGCCAGTCTCAGAAAAGGATATTGGTATGTGCATCTTTCAGATGCAAGGTCTGTGTAGAACTGTGTGTTACATGATTTAATAATGATGTGTATATACATTTCACATACTACTACTTCTTCACTAGCTTCTCTGTAAATATTAACTTCATCTACAGGTTTTAAGTGTATGTTTAAATACCACCGCAACTTATTTGAAAGATAAGCACAGGTCAAGTAATATTACAATATAGTTGTTGCAGTATATAGATGTTTAGCTCAGAAAATACTACAGAACTTTAAGCATAGGACTTCAAGCTTACACACAATAAAAAAAAGTTAAACCATATGCCAACAAGCACAAGTTTTGTCAAAGTGAGACATGTGAAGAGACAACACTGTAAAACAGAGGGGGATGAGGAAAGTGCAACAGCAGAGACTGGTTGTGGTATTCTATTAGATTCAAGATGACTGGATTCACCAAGCTGATGATAATGTTCTGTCATGAGTAAGTCACAGGTCTATCTCCTCTGAAATTCTGCATGCATGATGAATGAAGCCATTTAGTACACTGGGACATTAAAGTATTCATGACGTGGCTACAAAAGAAACGTACATATTCTTATACATAATAGAAAGGTGGACAGATATGCAAGAAAACAAAAAGATTATCTATTGTATCTCTGACATGAAAAGGGCATTTTATACAGAAATACAGTATTGTATTTTTGACTACTAGACCAGGGTAGGGGGCAGGGAGAACCATCATTTTACTACCCTCCCATACTTGAATGCTGGGTCCAACAATATACAGATAACTTCACATCATAATTACTGTATTATGCAAGCTCAAAGTTTCTTCTCAGTCAAAAATTGTTTGAAGCTGAGATACTCTTCCAGAGACAGACCACCCTATATATTTGCTTCATTCTAGCCTCTTCGGTAGACATGAGCTATTGGCTACTGTCAGAGACCGGGCACTGGACTACATGAACCTTTGACATCACCTACCATATCTGCTCTGAGAAACACACATTAGTAACAGGTCTCTAGAACACCATGCCAGCATAGTAAAGCAGTGGCATTACTTGTGACAAAAATTATCTAAGAGTGCCTTTAAGAAAAAAAAAAAAAAATGGTAGGTATCTGAAACATCTCTCACAGCTGGCAAAGCTTTCTCTGCCTTTGAATTATGCCACTGAACTTAATGCTCTCTTATATTATTAGTACACAATTTGTTGAAAGATGAGTCAGAAAGCAAGCAATACTCAATTTTTTGTATTAAAATCAGTGCCCTGAAGACAGATGAGGATATTTTTAATAGAGTAATAGCAATTTACGAGTATCAACCCCACATATGCCCATTACACATCTTCTGGGAGGAAAACAAAAAAAAGGCACAAAACATAACTCTCTATGCATCAGTTACCATCTTTCATGATGTACCAATTATAATTTTTAATCTATTTTAGTATTCCACCCCTCAAAATTATAGAAGTCTTACAACAGAACTGAGAAAGTTCCCATGACATCTAAGCCTAACAATTTCCTCTGCCATCTCAGCTTATTCACATGTTCAAGCTTGTATATTTTTAAATCCTAATCTCCAATTACAAAAAAAAACCCCCAAAAATATTCTAGAAGCTTTACAGCATTTATAATGCTTTTCAGTATCAGTAATCTGGACATTATTCCACAGTAGTTAAAATTATTCTGAACAAGCCAACTACAAATCCAGTAGTTCTGAAAATAATAGCACCTACAGCTCAGTGGCAGTTGCAAATAAATTGTATGAAGTCTGCTGTGATTTTTGGTGGAACTCAAAAGAATTTAGTATATAATAGAGAATTACATATGTGAATTTTAACTCTTAAAACCTCTCTCACTGCTTGAGTGTTAGTCTG